TAGGGGGTTTATAGGCGCTACCAACAGGTCCTCACTAGTAACAAAGACAGCCCCACCGTCTTACCGCTCATGTTACTTATTAAGTGCGACTGGCCAGCAGTTGCGGCCAGCACCGCGAGTGTTACCACCGCCGGGCGAAAACATTTCAACGACCTTATAGGGATGTTTCAAACTGAATAAGCATTTACTCCAATATCAAAACAGCTACGGTAAAAGGCTTCATTTCCTGCGATTGTTAACCAAGCAGGGAATGAGTGTGGACGACCTCATACAAGTATACTTATCACTCATCCGCCCCGTACTGGAATATGGCCACGTTTTACTCGTCGGTTGCAACGTAGCTCTAGCAAACAGCATGGAACGAGTCCAACGTCGCGCACTTCGTATCATCTCTTGCGGAGGGAGACGCGACGTACCAGCTCTACCCTCTCTAAAGGAAAGGAGAGAGTCTGCGGCCGTGTCCCTGTTCAGGTCGATGCTAAATCCCGAACACCCACTACACGACCTGGTGCCCCCCCAGAGAGCAACTGCTACCGGCAGGATCCTAAGGAACAGCCAGGCCATGAGTGCTCCCAGGGCCAGGACAAAGCGGCTCCAGCAGTCCTTTCTCCACAGGGCCATAGCCCTATACAACGAAGAACTGACGTATCACTAGTTTTATTTTTCCTAAACCTCATCTGTATATAGTTTTTTGCTTGGTACAAATTCTTTATGTATTATAGTGTATATGAGGGTGTGTATATAGTGTTTGTTTTGCCTATTGTAACTTTTATTTTCTGTACGCAAACTCTTTCAATTCAGGGATTCTCATCCCTGCTGCAAGGTTTGCTTTTGGTGTTGAAAATAAAAAAAAAAATAAAAAAAAAATAAAAAGACGTGCATCATCGCGGACACAATGCCACACCACATGCGAAATTACACAGAAATGCGACGTACGGAAGAATGCGTTTTGGCTGCGAACATCTTCCAAAAAACTTGCCATCTCTTAAGTACGGGCAAAAACATCTGGAACCACTTATCGGAACCTCACCGTATCTGCATGAAGGTCCACCCCCCACTGCTATTCCAAACAACGCGTTTTTCTGGACCATTCCAATTCGCCTAGTAATTGTCTGCGATATTACATTGACCCCGACAGCAGCAACGGCAAAAATACACACTCGTGCATCAACACAGGCATGCCCGCCGACGGCGTATAAAATTGCGTGCCGATTACATTGTTTGTACACAAAGGGAACCCAGTTTTTTGACTGCGAACACGAAAAACCAGCCCTTCAGAACACTCCGTCCGGAGGTCCTGACCTCCTTCACGGAGTAAAAAATGCTGGTATTGTCCGAATGAGGTGGACCATTAGAAGCATTCCAGCTTGGGTCAGTGGTACAAGGCCGTCAAAATCTCAAGGACTGTGGGACTCTGGAAGAAATAAATCCGTCTTCCGGTCTTCATTCTTTGGAACAACAATGTACGTCACTCTCTGATCATCTCGCTTCAGCGTGGAAACAGGCTGAACGTGGTGTACCTACCAACTTGGATATATCTGACACACTTCACATCACTCTCTACCTTCTTTCAGCATCGCGGTCAAATTAAGTCTAGACTGCGAAGAGTGAACGGAAGGGAAACCGTGAATCCAGACCACATTCCTCTGTGGGTGCTGAAGCCATGTAATGCGGAACTGACACCTGTTCTATATGAAGAGTTTACCTCCTGTCTATAACATTGTACATTCCCACAGCAGTGGAAACAAGCTCTTGTCTGCACCGCCACCAGGACCACACTTTCCCACAGATTAACGGCGGATACCTGTGGCCAGCTGAGTAGGTAAAGTGTATGAGGTCTTCCGCGTGACTCACTCCTACCCGACTTCGGCAACACTCTGCTATAATCACACCATGATTTCCTACCGAGGTGGTCCACTGTCGCAGCTTTTGATTCCCACTCTTCCCAGCTGGCCTTAGGCACCTAACAACAATCCAACGGAAGACATTCGTGCGGTCCTTGTTGACTTCCGCTGTGCATTTGACACTATAGACCAGTCACCACGGCCAACTACTTCTAACCCTGGCCGACTTCGGTGTGAAGCGAGCTCTGTGGTTACCCATACGCAGGAGCCTGGAGGGCAGGCCCAACAAGTCCCTTGGGGAGCATGTCTGTCTAAACCCCGTGAGGTATTCGGCAGGCGTGTTAAAAGGTAGTCATTTTTCACTACTGCTCCTTGTCATCTGCATCAACCTGCTAGACACATGTCTACCGCCCTGTATGTTCCCGGTGAAGTATGCAGACGACCTAACAAACCGAGTTCCTACACTTCCCGGCCAAACTCAGAGGGCACTGGGCGTCTATCAAAAATGGGCTGTACAATTCTCACTGGCACAAATGTGAACTAAAGGAATGACATGATCATCAGCCCTAGGAGGAAGAAGACTATACCTGCACCCCCACACCGTACCGCAGATGGTGACGACCCTCATAGACATGCTATGACTACACCGAACCGTACTAAGAGGCATGCAGAACTGAATTCTGTGGGTCACGATTGTTTCGTATTTTCCAACCTGGTGTTAACTAGAGAACGTTATGCTTCTAACCGTATTCTTATTGTCAAGAGCTCGCCGTTCTGCTAGCAAGTTTTACTGCATTTTATAGTATCTTTGCACCTTCAGTCAACCCATGTCATGTCGCAATCTGGTTTCCCAGGTAATGCTTGAAAATAAATTGAACTGACGTCCTAACTCGCCTTCCTGTAACTGTGATGCCTCCTATCAGTCCGACAAACCATCATAAGCTCAACTAATTTTAAGTGCGCAAAAATTCTGGATTCCCCACGTGCAACCCTACGATTCCGTATCTGCCAATCCGAACATGTCATGCGGAGTAACTTGTTAAGGAGTTAAAATCCGTACACCTCCCTCAGGTTGAAAAAATGGCCAGTACTGACCCTGTAGCGGTATCCCGCCGACTTGGGGGAGGAGGGTTGGAGTCGCCCCAAGGCTGACCCTGGATTTGCCGTTAACTTTTTCCTCCCGAATTGGAGGGTTACATTTTCCCGCTGGGAAACTCCCACTGTCTCCTCTCAAAGAGGACAGTTACTTTATGTACGACTAGCTATGCGGCTACAAGGACATAAGAAACGAAGTCTAACATAAAACTGTTACACCCTGTTAACGAAAAATGTTAACGACAAATCTGAACCCATCCAAGGTCAGCCCTGGGACAAGCAACCAACCCCTGGTTAGGGGCCTACCGAAGTAAGGGTATTTTAGGTCACCCCGGCGCCTGTAGCAGAGTTGAGAGGAGTGGGTGCGTCAGATTGCCAACAAACTGACATGTACAGAATTACTAGTAATACCCTTGTGCCAATTTACAGTCGCTTAAAGCATGACTCCATATTGACGCATGACACACGTATGACGAATTACCACAATTACGTCTAGCCAATATCATGTTACCATTTTTGGTCATAACTAGAGGAGCGAACCCCCGCACCCCTTGTGCGGACACACTGCAAAATCCTGTCTTTTCACGAATAACTTTTATCTTATGGCCAAAACAAAAACGAAGTGGGAACCCCATCCACCTTCAGCTTTGTGCGGACACCACGCACACATACTTCTTCTCGTGCACAGCGTTTGCCAAAACTAAGGGGGCGTGAACACTCAACCATATTTTTCCCTTCTTTCCCAAGCACAACGTTTACAGTTGGTCATGACGACATAGACACGAGATGGGCACATCCCTTCATCCTTTTTCACCCCGTTTCAAATCATGACAAAATTTACAGTTGATCATAACACGACTGGGACACCCCTCCAACTTGTTTCGAAATACACCGTATACCGTTGGCAAATAAACATGAGGTGGGAACACCCATCCACCTTTTTCACTTGTTTTCAAATCATCACCACGTTTACGGTTGGTCATAAACACGTGGGCACACCCATCCACCCTTTTCACTTTACAAATACAACGCTTACAATTTACCTATGAACAACATGCGATGGGGACACACATCCACCGATTTCACCTGGTTTAAAATACAACGTTTGCAATTGGGGAAAAACACAAGGTGAGAACACCCCTCCACCTTATCCACTTTTTTTTTCTAAATACATGGCCCTACATACAATTAGCCACAAACACGAGGTGGGAACACCCATCCACCTTTTCACTTCTTTCATTTTCAACATTTACAATTAGCCACAAACGCGAGGTGGGAACACCCATCCACCTTTACCAACCACGCTTTACAAACACAATGCTGCAACTCGGTAAAGAAATGCAAGATGCGAACACTAACCATGCAGCACGCACGACAGCCGGCGGCTATGACAGAGGCGGAGCGCGAGCTGAGGCTGAAAAGCTGCCGGCAGAGCTGGTGCCGACGGAGGCTGAGCCCGAGCCGGCTGAGGCCCCGGCTAGCCGGGCTAGCGGCTGGGCCGTGGCCGGGCGGCCGGGGACGGGAACGAAGCTCTTTATCCAGCACTGACCAAAGTCTCCGGCGTAGGTCGAAAGGGGAGGAAAACACGCTCTCCCGGCCTTATAAAGGATTCCCTGGACACGTGATAATGTCCAGGTGTTTAATTAATGCACGCGGACTGCTCCCGACCAGGTGTCGCCTCTTAACGACGCGAAACCCGGTCAGGAGCGTCCTCGTGCCTCAATTAGAATAGTAAGGCATTCGAACAATCATCTTTCCCCGGCCAATCAGAACTGTGTGTTTGTCTTGCGACTAAATCTACTTAAAATTCAGCCAATCAGAAGCGTGTGTATTTTTTGAGTGATTAATTGCAATTAACACTCAGCCAATCAGGAACGTGTATTTCTTGTGATTGTATCCCCCGCCTCTGCATGTCCACAAAAGCGGATAGAGAGTGCGCCGTATCTACGTTGAACCAATCAGAAGCGTGTGTATTTCTTGTGTGATTAACTCCAATTAACACTCAGCCAATCAGAAGCGTGTATTCTAGTGATTGTATGTCCGCAAATGTATGGTTTTCAGTGCCCCTGCGGATAGAGAGTGCGCCGTCCCCGCAGCAGGCCAGAGTGGGGAGTGACTACAAGATCGTCTGTCAGGTGACCAGCCCGACCACGCCTACATACACCTGGTACTACCGGGGGGACGTCATAGATATCGACGGTAAGTCGCTCAAAAAAACAACAACAAACTTATGACTAGAATTCTTCTCCATCCTTCAGTGTCACACGCTAAATCATTCTGCGTGGTTATCAAAGACGCACCGAATGATTTCAGGGTGGTAAAACTGGATTTACAAAGTCAATTTTCTGGCCTTTCTTTAAATGCGGTAAGTCGAATCAGTAAAGTAATCGATGAAAACAACGCTCAAGTCACGAAGAAAGAAAGAAAATCCTACCTCTTTAGGCTTGCTGGTGCTTCGGGACCTGAAAGAAACTATATTTATGTTAATGTGTGCCTTTATTTGCTGGTGAAAATTGTTTTGTTGTTCGTTTTCTTGGGGGAAATCCTGTGTGTGCCCGCCTCCTAACACGGCAAGTCTTCGAATGATACCGAATTTGAACATGTAAACAACCTTGCTGCTTAGCAACCACTTGTTGTCGCACATTCGAACCTGTAAACAACCCTGTTGCTTAGCAATTGTTTGTTGTCACGGATTCAAATTTAACGGTTTTCTAGCACAGTATAGGAGAGAATCTGACACGACCGATGAAAACAAACGCGCAAAACATGAGGAAAGGAAAGAAAATCCTACCTCTTGACAGGTGCCCAGGTCCAGAAAAATGATATATCTTAAATTTGTACCTTTATCTTGTTGTGTGACCACCTCCAAGCACGGTAATTCCTCGGATGGTGCCGAATTTGAACCTGTAAACAACCTTGCTGCTTACCAACTGCTTGTTGTCGCGCATTCAAATTTGACGGTCTTCTAACGCAGTAACGTTACACACCAATAACGAAACCCACCGATGAAAAACACGAGAAAGGTAAAGAAAATCCGAGATATTTAAGCCTAAAGCTGTCTAAGGACATGAAATAAATGATTTATGTTAAATGTGTGGCTTTATTTACTATTGATAATCTAACGGTCTTCTAGACTATCTCAGTACACACAGAGAACAAAACCGATCTCGAGCGATGAAAACAAGCGCGTAAAACACGAGTAAAGGAAAGAAAATCCTACCTCTTTTTGGGCCTACAGGTTCCCAAGGTCCTGAAAGAAATGATTTATGTTAAATGTGTGCCTTTATTTGCTGTTGAAATGTGTTTTTTGTTTTGTTGATCGTTTTCTTGGGAGGGATCCTGTTTTGTGGCCGCCTCCTAACACGCTCAGTCTTCGAATGATACCGAATTCGAACATAAACAACCCCTGTTGTTTAGCAACTGTATGTAACCTCAGATGACCCCAGGTGTGCCATTTGCTCTAGAACGTCTCACGCGAATCAAGAAGTTGGCATAGCGCGTTTCTATGTCTATAAACTCTTGCTGCTTAGCAGTTGTTTGTTGTCGCGCATTCAAATTTAACGGTCTTCCAGCGCAAATTCAAAAAATCTATGGTAGCACTGGTACCAAAAAACGGTCTCGGCCCATGGACTAGTTTAGCCAGCTCTACATATTGACCTGAAACCACACTATCCCAATGTATACTGACCCTCATGGACCAAAGGGCCCTGGGCTAATTTTAGTGTACGACCCAAAAAAGAAAGGACTCATTCTGGGGCTTGTTTCTGAAGCCCAAAGTATGAAATGCTGACTCAAATGTGCTAATGTGAAGCAGTATGTGTCAATATCACAAAGATTGTCTTACTATGTTTACCGAAGGAAAACATATTGTTTTGCTCAGTTTCTTCTTCCTCTTCTTCTCCAAACAGTGACCCCTGACCTGAACCAATGGTGTGTCTGTTACCATGGTAACTGGTGTTGGGTTACATCATGTTGCAATTTCATAGCAGGGGGGATTAAGTCTCCTGTCTGACCATATATATGAATGTGTTTGAGTAAGAATTAACAGAGCAGACCATATTCAAAGGTAGAGCTGTGTACCTAAACAAATTTTAGGTACAGGTACAGGTACAGGTACACAGGTTTAGGTACAGGTCCGGACCTGAACCTGTACCTGAACAATTCGACCAATTTATATGCTCTTCTGAACTCCTTCAATAACAAAAAAAAACATAAATAAACTTGATAGTTAAGGTTAACGTTTATTCTTTGTTTATGGCGAATGCTCAGATAAAATATAGGCAAAACTAAGGTGTTATTGTTTTCATGAACACACTGTCCTTACACAGGCACCCATTGTTAACCAGCTATTCAAACATTTGAGGTCACAAATAGGCATAAAATTGGTGTGAAATTGTTTAGGTACAGTACCGGTACTGAGGGATTAGGTATTTTGGACCTGTACCTAATCAATTTTTCCGGTACAGTATCGGTACTGCGTACCGGTACACAGCTCTATTCAAAGGTAAACATTATGCATTTGCATTGCAAATGTTACCTTTCTAGATCAGAATATTTCCAGTTTTGCTGCCCTGAAATCGCATTTGATACCTTTGACAGTTCGATCTCTAACCCCCAGTGACGTCACGTTACGCCCTGGCCGCTGACGGACTGATGATCACCGACGTCATGACGTCAGACGCAGGCCCGTACACGTGTGAGGCCCTGAATCCTGACTCAGGAGATAGCGACTTTAAGGACATCGTCTTCAACGTCATAGGTAACAATCTTCATTATTAATATTCATAACAATTAAGCAATGAAATTTTTATCTCTAGTTTACTGAAATGAAAATTATAAGCGTACATACAATATCGGTTATAATCTACGAGATATTCTTCCGCGGTAAGTATATTGTTTTTTGTGTTCGCAGTTCGTTAGGATTTCTTTATTTTTCAGTATATGATTTAAGTTATTGGGATCCAGATGCAGTTTGTTTATCCTTTGATATGAATGAATAAATAAGTAATAAAGAGTTCGAATTCAGAGATCCTAGAACTCCATGAAATGCTTAGATCTAGATGAAGTTATTAATGGCTTTCTCTTGGACAGACGGAACCAACCATATCCATTAGAAACTGACCAAAGAGCCATACGGAAACACACACA